CAGTGGCTAAAGAAGGGATTTTAATTAAAAATATTAGCAAGTCATTGGAAAGGCTATGGGAGGTTATTATACATTAATGCACTGACCTATATTTATTTTTTTCACTATCATTAAAGTTACTCCAACCAATGCACCATCAATGTCACCTACAACTCCTCCTCTCCTTTTCCTTTTTTGCATGGGTTCCCAAGGCCCATTTTATTCATTATCTACACATCGTCCCTTGGTAAAGTTGATAACCTCCCAAAGCTGTTAATAACAGCTGTTACACCACTTCTTTAAACAATTTTTCTCCATTTGAATTGTATTATAACTATGCTATCTCCCTTTGTTTTGTAAAGGGCTGTGCAAACTATTGGCACAATATAAATCCTGTATAAGAATAACAATAATAATAAAAAGAAGAAGAATTTATTTGGTGTATTTGTTCTTTCTTTCATTATGTAATTTGTGTGGGGATAGTTGGTTAATTTTCATTGTTTATTGGGCTTTTGGGGGAATTTGTATGTATTTATCAATATGATATGCACATTTTTTTATATTTCATATTTTTATCGAAGTTAAAACAAAAATTTGGCATTGTGTTAATGTGTTTGTACTGTCAACTGGATGCTCCATTTGCAAAAAAAAAAAAAAAAAAAGCCAGTTTAACCATTCCTACTTAAACAGACTGTAGGGATATTTATAAAAAAAACTGCAGTGCAAACAATCTTAACTGCATCCTATGTAAGTGAATAGTCATATGGTTGGTATTAGTTACAATAAATACATGCACATATATTATTTACAAATCAAACACAGTCAAATGTGGGATGTAGGAATTTGTGTTTCCCCATCTTAGGGGAGTATGGCCCCATTAGCTGTGCTTTCCCTGGGAATTTTTCAGTATGCTTCTCCTGATGGGTTGAGGTAACGAGGAAAAATTTCTTGTCCGTTGTGCAGTGTGAACAGCCTAATAAATGCTGTTATTGTTGGCACCATCCGTGATAACTAAATTATGAAGTTGCATGTACCTGAGTTTATGTTGCTGAAGAAAAACGTATTAGTAAAAAAAAAGTTTATCTTTTTTAATGAAGGACAATTATGAAGACTTCATTCTTTGATTACACACCAAAATGATAATGTGAAGGAGAGGAGTTGGCCATGGCTAAAGAGAGGCCAAACATGTAAAACTGGTAAAAGTCTGGGAAGAAACTGTGAGGCAAAGATAAGTTAGGAAACAAGTCAACTAGATGTGGTGACCTTTGATGGGGTTGCTAGTCTCCCTTTAATAAGGCCTAGAGGCATAGGTGGTTGTTTACTGACTTTAGCTGGCGAGGGATTTGTGTACAGATAGTGATCCTGAGGCCTAGTGAGGCCATGCTATTGGTAGCCGAGGAAGCATCTTGAGAGGGCACTCTGTCTTATGTGTGGCCTTGGAATGTGTAGAACGCATATTTTGCTACTGTGAGGGGCTAGTTTAAAGCTCTTGGTGTAATAATAATCACTCTGACATGACCTACTTACTACTTGCTAAATAATCCCTTTCTCTCACTTTTGTTTATTAGTCACCCTGAATATTCATGTTAAAATAGTGTGTATATTGTCAGCTATGTATTTGGCATTGTTTTAAAATATTTTAAGTATGTTGACTGAAAAATACAAATGGACTGCCTTTCAAACTCAATACATAGTGGAATGGGTGCCAAAGGTTAAATCCAGTCACAGGTCAGAGAAAATCCTATTGCAGAAACTAATAATTAGAATATTACAGGTACTACATACAAATGCTTGCCTTTTATAATAAGAAACCATTGTTCAGAAAGATCTGATATGAGACCGCAGAGAAAAAAGGATAAAATCATCATAGGCTACAACAGAAAGTACAAAGATGCCATTTGATAACTGAGGGAGATAATAATAAAGAGATCATTCAATGTGAATCAGTTGAAACTCCTAGTACAACATACTTGATTTAACCTTTGACTGGAACTATTTCATTAGGTCATAGCCATCTCATGCTTGTTAAGTTCATACTTTCATGCTTCCATGTTATCTTTTGCACAAAGGGTTGACTTAAATGGGTTATCGTATAAAAATGAACTGCTTGAAGTGATACCCTCTACGAGAGTAATATTTTCTTTAATATATACTTTATGGGCTGTGTACTTAATAAAGTAGTAAGTTAAATAATGTATGACAATAAAAAAAAAACACAGAGGAATTTGAAAGGCATAATAGCCAACTATATTTGTAATAAGTATAAAGGTAAAGTTATAAAGAAAACCTACAGAAGGAAATATGGGGCTGCAATTTCCAACTTTTGAAAGTCACCTGACTGTGATACTTACCAATTTTAATATTTTTGTTGATTTGGAAAAATGCACATTAGGAAAGCTTGAAAAATCTTGTTTGCATACTTGTTCAGAGTGGCAGGCAGGCAACTAGCAATTTCACAGAAAATAGTACAGCCAGTTTTAGAGGCTCCTTGCTATTGAATGTGACTGGCCATGCTAGTATGTCACTCATGCAGAAGAACAGAAGAATGCACTGGTGGCAATGACACGGGTGTGGCTGGTGACATCTGTCATACCCACACTGCTACCTCCACTCCATTCTCTTGTCCTTCTGAATCTCAAATAAAACACCCTAACACAGTTACACAGAGCCTTTGAGGCTGACTGCTAATTCATATACAGGAGTCAGTTACATGTGAAACACTGCACAGAGTCTGTAGTGGCTCTGCCGTCTAATGCATACTCATACTGTTAGTTCTACCATCATTGAAGCACTTTTTCTAGGAGACAACAGACCAAACTCTGACATTGGCGTAGGAGATCATGCAGACTGGCATCATCAACACTAACTGACTGTTTCAGTAATAAGAGTGTCCACCCAGCGCAGTTGCACTGCCCCTCTTTTTGTCAGTATCAGGAGCTGTCTCTTAAAGACTGTAAATGTATGACGCTTAATTATAAACTTTAGATGGTAGTTATATACGCTGAGGGTGCCAATCAATAGCAGAACAGTTTTTCTTTGACTTTTATGTGTGCATGCTTATATCTTAGGAACATGTCAATTACTAAATAGATTGATTATTATTTATCTGTGTATTAGAAATAAGACAGCTGGACTACAAGTAGCCTTTGATGAGCCTGTTTGGAGACAGCATACTGCTATTTTGCTGTGCAGATGTGGAATCCTTTATGTATTTATCACAAAACCATTAACCAGTTTATAGTGCATTACAAGTGGAAAGTGCATATTTTAGTAGCCACCACAACACATGGGGGTTGATTTACTAAAGGCAAATAGGCTGTTCGACTTGCAAGGTTATTTTTTTATAACTTAGTGGATGTAGTGAAATCTCACTTTGCAAAGAATACCCAATCACATGCATACAAAAATGTATCTTTGCTTTCACAAGACTGGATGATATCTGCCAACAAAACTCTGCCTCATTCGCCTAACTCATGGAAAATTCTCTTTAAAAGTAGGAACATTTTCTTGCAAAGTGAACAGCCTATTTGCTTTTAGTAAGTCAACTCTATAGAATCAGTTCTGAAGAAATACTAAAGGCAATGTTGATAAATGTGGCCAGAAGTTGAACTCTGCCTATCCTTGATCTATGTGTGCATGTCACCACTGGTCAAGCACTTTAGCCTCAAAAGTTTTTTGAGAGATGCAATCTCATCAATTATAGTAACATTGGTGGCTAGATTGGGCATATCACAGATACCACTGTTGAGAAACAGAATCTAATCATGTCTACATTAAAATCACCGGTGTCTGTGAGACTATTCTAGTTTTCAGAGTTTAAGGAAGTCTTCACAAATGGCCCTAGAATGCAGATTAGAATATGGGAATGGCTGGAAGAAATAGGTTAAGGTTGGAATGATAGTTTCCTGATTTCACATATGTGTAGTTATGTGTGAAGCAGTTTTCAGTCTTCAAACTCTGTTGTCATGTGCGTTTTTAATTATTTAAGCTATGTATTTACGGTATCCCCTTTGGCTTCTCATACCTGAGCATTGTTTTGCTCAATGCCAGAATGAAATATTTATTATTAATGAACTATATGTGGTCCATCTGTTGGTAAGAGTTCTGCTAATGATTTGCAGTATGAACTAACAGATTGTAGGGATGTACACTATATGTTAATAATTCACTCTGAAAGGTAAAAATGAGCAAGGAGGACACTGACTTTCTGTTCTTCTAAAAGGCATGTTGGGTTTGTTTGACTTATGAAGCTTCATTTGGGTTACTGTATGATTTATGTATCCATTTTCAAGCTACATTTATCGTAATAATGGCAATATTTCAGTTTAATAATGTTTCTGTCTATTTCTGCAAACAGTTGTTAAGAAAGCAAAAATTTAAAACCAAATTACATGATAAACATGCAAATTTCTTCTTTTCGTAAATGCTTCAATGCACAATCAGGGGCATATACTGTATGTTAAAGTTTTCTGAAAACATTGTGCATAAGTATTTGAGAATACATAGTATTTAGCTACTTTATCGCTTTAATATTTCAGTTGCATATGCAATAAAGGAATTTTAACAGTGCACAAGAATGTCCTTTGCTGGGGGATGTGGCCTAATGGTGAGACTCCACCTCCCTCCAGCCGTTACTGATTAGCTGCGTAAGAATAGCTTTTCAGCCACTCAGAACTTTTTTCTTCTTTGGTAAAGCAAAGCTTTAGACTGAAAACAACTCATAGTAATAGAGAATAATTATATCTAATCTGTATCAGTTAAAAAGCGAGTCTGTTTTAACTGAAGTTTTGAAGAGGTTGCAATCTACCAGTCCCATGGGTACAACCAAACAAACCCATCACCAGGACAGCAACACCCAAAAACTTGTGTATTATATATAAGTAAGCAATAACTATTAAATATGTTTGACACCCACAATGTATCTAAATAGCTGAAAAATATTAAATACAAGCTCAACATAGTGTACAAGAGGGATCATAGCAGAAACATGGTGTATGTGATTAGGAGCAGACTGACAACTCATGGGGCCCCCGGGCAATAGGGGATCATGGGGCCCCTGTGTCCTTGCCCAAACTCAAAAAGGCCTATGAAAAAGGTGCCAGGGGCATCTCATGGGGCCCTCTACTGACCCCGAGCCCTCGGGCAGTGCCCGAGTTTCCAAATGGTCAGTCCGCCCCTGTATGTGATCATATTTGACTTATAAGGGCACAATGAAAAAAATAAATTGAGGGCAGAGTGCAGGTGAAGGTAAAGACTAAAAATTGATTTGTAGAAAAGGGGTATGAGCAAGAATGGAATCTTGTTCTTCCTCCTTCCCCTTGTGAGCAGTACCCATCCTTTTTTGTTATTAATATAGGTATGTATTATCATTATTGTCTTCACTGCTAATATTTATTTAATTTTCCCTCTCTTATCCTTACCCGCTATGTGGTACTTTGATACTTTACATACACATAATTCATTCATACATTTCTGCTATTGTTCCTCTTGTACCCTGTGCTGAGTTTATATCACTATTTATATATACGTGTATATATATGTATATGTGTATATTTATATATATATATATATATACAGTGGGGATCGAAAGTTTGGGCACCCCAGCTAAAAATGTGTATTAATGTGCATAAAGAAGCCAAGGAAAGATGGAAAAATCTCCAAAAGGCATCAAATTACAGATTAGACATTCTTAGAATATGTCAACAAAAGTTAGATTTTATTTCCATCATATACACTTTCAAAATAACAGAAAACAAAAAAATGGCGTCTGCAAAGGTTTGGGCACCCTGCAGAATTTTATAGCATGCACTGCCCCCTTTGCAAAGCTGAGACCTGTCAGTGTCATGGATTGTTCTCAATCATCGTCTGGGAAGACCAGGTGATGTCAATCTCAAAGGTTTTAAATGCCCAGACTCATCTGACCTTGCCCCAACAATCAGCACCATGGGTTCTTCTAAGCAGTTGTCTAGAAAACTGAAACTGAAAATAGTTGACGCTCACAAAGCTGGAGAAGGCTATAAGAAGATAGCAAAGTGTTTTCAGATGTCAATATCCTCTGTTCGGAATATAATTAAGAAATGGCAGTCATCAGGAACAGTGGAAGTTAAAGCAAGATCTGGACAACCAAGAAAAATATCAGACAGAACAGCTCGCAGGATTGTGAGAAAAACAATTCAAAACCCACGTTTGACTGCACGATCCCTCCAGAAATATCTGGCAGACACCGGTGTTGTGGTACACTATTCCACTATAAAGAGATACTTGTACAAATATGGTCTTCATGGAAGAGTCATCAGAAGAAAACCTCTTCTACGTCCTCACCACAAAAATCATCGTTTGAACTTTGCAAATGAACATATAGACAAGCCTGATGCATTTTGGAAACAAGTTATGTGGACCGATGAGGTTAAAATTGAACTTTTTGGCCGGAATGAGCAAAGGTACGTTTGGAGAAGGGGCACAGAATTTAATGAAAAGAACCTCTGTCCAACTGTTAAGCATGGGGTTGGATCAATCATGCTTTGGGGTTGTGTTGCAGCCAGTGGCACAGGGAACATCTCACGAGTAGAAGGAAAAATGGATTCAATAAAATTTCAGCAAATTTTGGATGGTAACTTGATGCCATCTGTGAAAAAGCTGAAGTTAAAGAGAGGATGGCTTCTACAAATGGATAATGATCCTAAACACACCTCAAAATCCACGGGGGATTACATCAAGAGGCATAAACTGAAGGTTTTGCCATGGCCTTCACAATCTCCTGACCTCAACATAATTGAAAATCTATGAATAGACCTTAAAAGAGCAGTGCGTGACAGACAGCCCAGATCTCAAAGAACTGGAAGACTTTTGTAAGGAAGAATGGGTAAAGATACCTCAAACAAGAATTGAAAGACTCTTGGCTGGCTACAAAAAGCGTTTACAAGCTGTGATACTTGCCAAAGGGGGCAGTACAAGATATTAACTCTGCAGGGTACCCAAACTTTTGCAGACGCCATTTTTTTGTTTTCTGTTATTTTGAAAGTGTAAATGATGGAAATAAAATCTAACTTTTGTTGACATATTATAAGAATGTCTAATCTGTAATTTGATGCCTTTTGGAGATTTTTCCATCCTTCCTTGGCTTCTTTATGCACATTAATACACATTTTTAGCTGGGGTGCCCAAACTTTCGATCCACACTGTATATACACACACAGTATATATATATATATATATATATATATATATATATATATGTGTGTGTGTGTATACAGTGTGTATATATATATATATATATATATATATATATATATATATATTATTATACAGTATTTATACATATATATATATACAGTATATGTATATATCATAAATTATATATTTTACACAGTGATTACGCAAAAAATTCTGGGTGTGGATAATATATGGATTTTTTTCTATATCTGCATTGATTTGTAACCCTTCCTTATACAAATCCTAATATCTTTTAGTTCAGTATTAGTCATTGTATTAAATCTGAACTCTAGCCAAAAAATTACAACAGAAAAAAAAAAAAAGCTGATAAATAGATAAAATAAAAAAACATCCTCTTTTCTAAAATAATTTCAATTCAGAGCTGTCCCCTACAGTACTTATTTTACTGCCACACAATGTCCTCAGTTTTGGTTAAGTGACAGGCAGCATCATTCAACATACTTTCTCTGAATTCAGATCATCATGGGCCCATCCCTAGCATATGACTTGATAGTGAAGCAGAAAAGGCACAGCAATGATCTCATCCCTCTTTCACTCTGCTTTCTCATCCCATCATCATGCTTCTGTTCAGCAAATAAATGGCTTGGCTGCTTGAGCTGCTTCTTCCTCTTCAAATATAATTTTAGTAATAACACTTCTTGTTTTTTTTTTTGTTAAAAATGCTTTTATTGTTGCATCAATGAACATACAACTAAATTAATTTGTGCCATTTATAACTGCCTAGAGTTCAGCTTTATCTGTTGTCAGTGACCATCATTTGCAACAGTGATGATTATTATTGTGAATTACCTACCAGTGTATTTTCTACTAAATAATACTATAGCTAACATTTTTTACAACAAGACTGCTGTTGTTCAGCAAATCAAATCAAATCAAATCAACTGAGACACTGAGCTTTGACAGAAACTTTATCCACATAATTGTCTTTCTCGTCAAATTACAAGGCCAACATTCATATATCATAGGCAACCTTGAAAAATGTTACCCTGAGGTTAATTAAGATTAGAGATTTGCATTTTTATTTTTGCAGACCTCCTAGCATAAACCTTCAAGATTAATTTTGACTGTGTAACATTATCTTTTTATCTGAGATGTTTTACTTCAGTTATCTGCATTCTTTGATTTTACGTAGCTGAGAAAAGCTATTCAAGAAGTCTTAGCAATTACATACCTCCAAATGATTGTGATTGTTACAGCCATTCTTTTTAATAGGAGGCTTGGAGAACAACTAGTAAAAAAAAGTATGGTCCAGTGGATAGCTTTGCTCTTCTGATTGTAAGAGAGCTGAAAGAAGTAGTCCTGGCTTTCAAGCAGAACTAAAGGTGCCTAATAATCTAATACAAGGGGTCCCCAAACTATGACCTGTGAGCCACATCCAGCTTGCAATGAAATTTGAATTATCCTGCAGCTAACGTCAGTGGTGTGTCCTCTTACACAGTGCACAGATTGAGGATTCAGTTGGTCTCTACTTCTGATGGGGGCCCAGATGTATGGGGAAATTCTGATAAGAACCCTGATATATGGGGGGCTCTAAAATGAAGCAAAGGGACCAGTGTTTAGGGGCCCTCTTATTGTTTATGGGGACTTTTTTTGAGGGGGTCCCATGTTGAGGGGATGTGGCCTGGTACTTTTTGATGGGGGACCTCAAACTTTTTTTTTTTTCATGAGATACCCATTAAAGGATAGGGTTTCCTTTTGAACATGTTAGATATTACACCCATATTTAGGATGTAACATGTAACATGTTCAAAGAGACCCACTCCTAAGCCTCCATTCCCCCTGACAGTGGATAGGGTTTTTCTCCCTGCATTTGCTGTCATATTTTGAAATCAATTAAATAGATTCTTCACAGGAATCTGTAAATGAAGATACTACGAGTCCCATCTTCTACCATGGCAGACAGCTAGTTTTCAATGGATGAGTGTCCTTATAGTCCTCTGACACTTCTTCCAGCTTTCTAACAGAAAGGCCATACAGAAGTATGAGCAAGAAATTATACTGTCTGCAGGAGTCTGATATTACACTCGCGATCCACTGATCATGGGTGCAATGCTCTGCAGAATTTTGTGAAAAAAATAATACATGCACATTTTTTCCCTGCAAAAATATATACATTAATTTTTTTCTCCAAAAAAGGTCAATTTAACCTTTAAATACACACCAGACTCAAAAGATGTACTACAGAAAAGTGACATTTACAAGGAAAAAACAGTTTAAATTGCTGGCAAATGAAAGTTCATTGTTTACAAAAACAAAAAGAAGAAAACTCAGCACACAGACCCCTCAATGTATCTTGGGGCACCATTGGGAGCTACATACCATTTTTTCTTAAAAAAAAGAAGAAGCCAGGAAGAAGATGTTATTTGCTGGCAATTTAAAAGTTTTTCTTTTGTAAATGTCTTTTCTTTAAAACAATCAATGTCACCAGCCAAATGGAATATATTTGTTTATTTTTTGCATTGGTACATGTTCTCAATAATAGTGCCCACCCCCTATGTTAATGTTTTACAACCCTTGCCTATTAGTTCAGATGGGATTTTTCAGTTTGATAAACTTGGCTTCAGATTCACACAGCCAGCAATCACCTGTGATGACTGCGGCTAGACGCACACAAACTTCATCCAGCTATGATCACCACAGGTAATTGCTATCTGTGCCAACAGGCATGAATAGTTGCAGCCACCAACAGCCTGTTATTGCTGTGTATGGGATTGGCATTGCTATTCACACACAGCTGTCAATACCAGGAACAGGAATCAGTAGATTCTTTCAGCTGAGATTCGTAGTGTGGCAAAATTCCCACATGACTAGAGACTTAAAACTAAGTAAAAAAGTGGAGTACTGGTAATTAAAATTAATAAGACCTTTTAAACAGTGTGTGGCAACACCATAGAATATTAATATTTTGCTTT